CCCCCCCCCCCCCCCCCCCCCCCCCCCCACACACACACACACACACACACACACACACACAACGAGAACCACTCTCCCTTTGGGGTTGGGTGTTTGCTTTTGTAATTTTCTGTTGTTTCTCCATATATTGTTGTATGTTGTGTAAGTCGTCCGAAGGACCAATATTTAATAGTGTTTTCAATATTATATTTCGTACTCAAAGAGTGAATAGTTTTTTGTTATTTGTTAAATGCATATATACAAATTAAACATATACATAACTCAATAAATTAAAACTTTATACTCTTAATTCAAAGAATAGAGGTTCAAATTCTCCCCAACATAAATAAATAAATAGCACATACAATGCATATATACACACTATGTATGTAACATGATGAATTCATGTAATCTACCGAGTTCATGAAACTATATTTTAAGAAACTTTTTTATTTTTTTTAAAACCCAAAAATGAATATACCTTGATTTCTGAAAACAAAATCTAGAAAATATGTATTTTCTTTAATCATCAAAACAATACAGGACTTTTTTGCCCAAGATATTTTTGGAGGCAGTTTTTCCTCTAATTTTGTTTACTTTCTTGATGACTAATTTTTAAACGCACATTGCGTCTTATTAAATTAATTAAACCATATTTAAATCTTATTAAATTAATTAAACGCACATTACTTTCTTGATGACTAATTTTCTTGACATTTAATTCTCAAGCATACTAACACGCGTATTTTATGTCTTCGCATATTTAAATCTTATATCAAGCTCTAATCAAACCTTCACAGTGCGGCTCCTAGTCCTGCCACCATCTTTTAACTCTGTCTATAAGCATTTGCATTCCCGACAAATCCTCTTCAATACCCACAACCTACAAACATTGAACTGTTAACAGGGTGGAACTAATAGCCAAGTAATTAGTTTGTTCCTAGTATCAATTTCAACTTCAATGATAATGCTAAAATCTTATGAGTTGTAATGTATTCAGTTCTTCCAAAATCTTGTCGACGGAAAGGGATACAATTTTCAAACATTCATCACACATAATTGCAATAGAGGTATAAATGACAAAAAAAAAAAAAAAAAAAAAAAAAAAAAAAAAAAAAAAAAAAAAAAAAAAAAAAAAAAAAAAAAA